TGTAAACAATTCTATATGGAGATAAACTGTAAAGAACTATAAACAAAATATTTTTTTTAAGTTTTTGTATTGATTTTATTAATAATCATTTCATTATTGATACATAATCTGAAATGTATGCAGAAGAAAATATTTTTGCCATTAATATCGTTTTCGAATTAGGAATAAAGCAGTGATATTTTAATGTACCTTTAACTGATGTAGCTGCTTCGAAACGGTGTTTAATCTTATTTTCTTCAGCTTCATAGTCTTTTGATGTTGAGAAATGGCACACAACATTTGGTAAACATTCGTTAGCCCAGTTAAATAATTCCTTTGGTGTTTGAATTGGATTATGTATTCGTTGAAAACTAGCTCTTGCAGCATTCCTCTTTAAGGTACCAGCTAAGCCGTCGCATGGTCCTTTGCCGTGTGAAGTTGGGAAAAAGTGCCATTCTGCCTCCAAACCAAAGTCTGCTTTGTGATGAGTTAAATTAATAAAATTTTTTTTATTTTTGTATTGTGAACCCGATCCATCGGAAAAATATATAATTTTTTTGATATCCGTACTAATTTTTTTAATGAATTTGATCGCGTATTTTTGGAACAAATGTACAGCAGTTGTGTTGTGATGTAAACAGTCAGATATGCAGACGAAATTTTTTATTTGTAGTTTTTTATTTTCATCACGGTGGTATATTGCAAACGGATGAATCGTTGCCTGATTATTATTCCAGTGAATACCTTGAACAGAGTTTTGAACAACAAAGGCATAATTTTCGGAAAAATCACATAAAACTATGCATTCATTTTTTGCTAAGTTGCTTTTCTTATCATTTAAAAACTCTGCCTGTTTCTTAACGATAAAGGAATGCAATAGCAATTTGTCTAAACCGTCTGTTAAGGATTGCAAATATTCGTCTATTGGTAATGTCAAGGTTTTCAATGTGCATCACTCTTCACGAATCCATTGTTTATATGTAACGGTTTCAATCATGTTGTCATCAAATATCTCCAGAAGTTGTCGATTAATGTTTTCAGTTCTAGGACATTTGGCACAGGTTCCTAAAAAGCATTCTGTGCTTGAAGCATGGCAAATCATGCGGTGTAGACAATCTTTATAGTCATTTATCGGCTCCCTACTGCATGCAGTCAGTGCTTTTATATTTACTCCATCTATCATTAATCGTACATTTTCGTGAATGGAGCATACACAAACTGAATGTGTACCACTTGCTCCTGCAAGAACGCAATGTTGTAGTCGTAAAGCTGCAAATTTTGAAAAACTGCATTTGAGGTCCGGATGGCTGAGTTTGAAAAGAGTATGCAACTCCTTTAGATTGCTTAGAATGAGCCGTTTTTGCATCTGTGTCCTCTTCCCGTCAATTTTTACGGATACGCAGTCCTTTTTCCCAGGCATTATTTGACTGTTTTCATCACATTCGTAAAAATTTAAAACTGCATCGGTTACATGTTTTTCTAACGATGGATGGCTTTTTGGATTTGGGTCTTCTAAGATTCCTTTTTCTGAAGCAAGTTTTTTAGCTACAGTAATCATATGCTTTGTAGCGTTTGGAAAGTGAGTTGTGATTCTTCGAAAAGACCAATTATGTACCACACTCAATATTTTTATTTTCATCGTCCTATCTGCTGTGCCATTGAATTTTTCCTGTAGATTTTTTAAAATTGATGCAAGGTCATCTTCTTCATCGCTATTGTTGGACTCATCGGGAGGAATGTTGAAAATTTTATGTTTAATCGCTTCAGTTATATCCTTTATTTTTTCATTTTTATATTCCTGTTGTTTAAGTTTTCTCGATGTAATTGGGGTATTGCTTATTAGAGAGAGTGCTTTATTTAATGGACTAATAGCACTTTTTCTGACTTCAGTTTCGTATGTAGCCGAACTGCTATTACTTGATGGTTGAATATTTTCCTCGCTCGATGACTGGCTGTTGTTTTCCGATATAGCTCCTTCATTGTTCTTATTTTTTTTGGCTCTCATCGCCAGTCTCATTCGGCAACTGTTACATATTTTTTTCCCCATATTTTTTTTGGTCCTAGGCATCCCCAACATACGCAGGATACTATCTGAAACTTGCCTTACTTTGGCCTTTCTTGGATGTATTTTTAACTTCAGCGGATTGAAACATTTTAAGTCATTGAATTGCCGTAGATGCAATTTATTTTTTTCAACTTTTCAAACTTTAAATGTTCTTACTTGTTTGTTCGCTTTCAAAACAGAAACTGAAAATTTATCAGACTTACTTAACATTTTATACCAAATTTTATACTGGATCTTTTAAAGATAGGAGTACCTAGACACTCCATTTCAAATTGTTTACAGTTCTTACCTGCTTAAAGAATTTTTCCAACTGTAGCAGAATAACACTCACCATAGAAGGTGGGTGTACTTATGTGCTGCAGTTATACAGGTAGTTCAGCTAGTGTGGAACTAATTAATTTTTAAACTCATCAATATAAGAAAAAGTTCATAAAACGGTTTAATTATGTTAAAATTTATAATTTAAAAATAGAGATGATGCGGAACTAATTTAAAATGTGAATATTGTGTCACTTTTCTTGGAAAATGGATTAAAGGATATTATGGTGCGTATGAGTAACATGAAGGACACCTGATAAATTAATTTTTTTTAAATTATTTCTGGAAGCAATATCACACTGGAAATATTTATTTTCGAAGAAGAATTTATGGTTTAATCGAAATTAAAAGTAAAAAATGAAAAATTTGTGTGACGTATTCCTCTATGTTTTTTTTTTACTGAAAAATCGTGTGTATGTGTTCGGAGTGATGTGAAGGATAAATAAATTTTTTAAAAGTACTTCCAACGACAATATCGTCCTGAAATTTCTGAGTTTTATGTACAATTTTATTACTAATTGAAATCAAAAATATTATATAAGAATATTTGTAGTATATTTTTTGAAAATTCATTCAATGTAAATATAGCACGCATGTGTTTGATGTGTTTTATGAGAAAAAAAAAAATTTAAAAAATTTATAAAAATTGGTGCCATCATGAAAATTTTTTTTTCTTAGTAAAATTTAAAACTAAATCTAAGTAAAATATAAAAAATGAAAAATGTTGCGTACCGTTTTGAGATATCTTTTTTTTGAAATTTATCGGTTAATATTAGTACCTAAATATAAACAATCTTAATTGTTTAAACAATTTCTTAAAAGTTCAACCAATTATCTTTAAAACGCAATAAATTTCAAGTTTCTACCTTTTATAGAACTTGAGATATAGCCATTTGAAAATGTGTCTACAATGCCAATTCTCAAAACCCCATGGGTCCATATCTCCTAGGAAAAAAATTACAAAATTTTTTGCCGAGATACAGGTCTTCTTATTTTATGAAAGGAGCTCATAAAAAAAATTTCAGCCAAATCGGAGGTGATGAGGTCATTTCTTGCCAAAATCCGTCCGGTTTGTAAAAGAATGACCCATATATAACGGTATCACCATAGCACGTTTATTTATTCATGCTGTGTCAAGAGTGCGTTGCACATTTTTTAGTGATTTGAAGTGCTAATTGAAATAAAATATTATTCACAAGTAATTTTTGTAATACCTTCAAGCTCAGGTATTTTTTTAATATTTAAATGTATTTGCGATTACAAAATATTTGTATAAATAATTAAAAAAAGTTATTGTTATAGTCTTGAAATTACATGTATTTTCAGGAAATAAATAGACATAATGTTATTTTTGTAGTAAAATGTACTTATAATTCCAAATTATATGTAAAGTACATATATTTGACTACCTTGTGGCAAAAAATTAATGTGCCCTTCTGTGCCTTTTCTGAAATATTCAGATTATGGTGCTACAATATCTGCGCCAATTTGCTCACTACGGTAGATAATTATTGCATGTAAGCAAACATTGTTGGTGTGATGTGTCTGTTTCTTCTTTTGTTTTGTTTTTGTAACGAGTAACAATATAAGTGATGTCAATGTAGTTTGCGAAATGTAAAAGGGGAAAAATGTGATTTCTAAAAATTATCTGATAATAAGAAAATGTCTTCTTTTTATAGGAACCTTATCAAACACTATTTTCATTTCACGTCAGACGCTGTATGATATTATGAAAAACTCACGGTTTGAAGAAGATCTGGCTGCTCCAGATCGTTTTCCGTCTTATTCATCGGTACAGTCAGCTAAAAAACTTTGTTATCCTCATTCCGACTATAAAATAACTGAAACTTCGGCTGAAGTTAAGTTAAAAGCACTTCTTGACCATACTGTGGAGCGTCTAGTAGTACTGCAAGATTCTGTTATTATTACTTTATGTGAAGAAGAATTAGCAAATTTTTGTTTACAATCTAAGTGGGGATTTGATGGAAGTTTTGGCCATACCTCATTTAAACAGGCATTTCATGGACCAAATGCCAGCGATGCTGCTGTTTTCATAACATCGTTTGTACCATTATGGTTACTTTGTGGTGACAAAATAATTTGGCAAGACCCGAGACCATCTTTTACCAGATTTTGTAGACCCTTTAAGATCCTTTTTAAAAAAGAAAGCGCAAGCGTTTCTAGAGAAGAAAAACAAATGGCTGAAGAAGAAGTTCAAAACATTGATAAGTCTGTTGTGGTATTCGAAAACAAAACTGTTGAGGTGAGACATAATTTTCTGTTAACAATGGTAGATGAAAAAGTATGCAATGCCTTAACCAAAACAACATCAACTCAGAAGTGTTACTTTTGCGGTGCAACTAGTGCAAAGTTTCAATTGATTCAATTGATGAAATGATTGCTAAAAATGTTGAAACTTCTAGTCTTAGTTTTGGGTTGTCGGTATTGCATCGTTGGATAAGGTTTTTTGAATGTCTACGGCATTTATCTTATAAATTACCCATAAAAAAATAACAAGCAAAGTCAGAATACGATAAAAAAACTGTCATGGAAACAAAGAGACATATTCAAAAAGACTTTAAAGATAGAGCTGGTTTAATCGTTAATCAACCAAAACCCGAATTTGGTAACTCAAATGATGGGAACACACTCAGAAGGTTCTTTCAAGAACGCAGAACTATCGGTTAAAATCACTAGTGTTGATTTAGATTTAATAAAAAGGATGCATATCACATTTATTGTTGTTTCTTGTGGCAATGAAATAGAAATTGAAAGGCATCGATGTTTTACATATGAAACTGCTACATATTTTGTATCGAAATATGCTATCGATAATATGCCTCCTACACTATATAAATACTTTATTCATGGTCCGGAGATAATATCGCACGCTATGTTACCAATTGGGCAATTAATGGAGGAAGCGCAAGAAGCACGTAAATGTAGCAGAGAAAAGACCAATTACGATATTTTGAATAGGTTTCTCATTAGTTCTGATCCCGTTATTTAAAGCTTCAGAAAACTTAATAAAAAAAGTTACAACACATACCACCATTAGCTTTAGATCTTCTTATTGGACGCAAATACATCTAAAGAGAATTAATCAGGCTATCAATAGCAAAAAAAAAAAAACATAAAAATCGAGTAGACCAATTTTGAGAAATTTGATGTCAAAGTTAAATTTCTAAACTCGTCTAATTTTAAGCTTCTTAAACAATGTAAAAAGTAAAAGTATAAAGAATATGATCACGAAACCGAGTAAATAAGAATCATTTCAATATCTCAACTAAAACATAAAAATATTATAAAAATAAGTACATATTTTGCACATGTTCCGATATTAGTGCATTTTATTTAAATTTCGAAGGAGGTACAGCCAGCACTCTTAAAGTTCCTAAAACTAGATTGATCACTCTTTCAAATGAAACTAATTTCACAAAAATCGAGTAGAACGTTTCTTAATTATATATGTTTAAAAAAGTAGTTTTTTTACGAAAAAAATGTATGTTAACTAACACCATTCTAATAACACATTAAGGTGAAAAGCTGTACAATGCTAAAAACTCACCACCACTTTAAAGTCTACTAAAGAACTCTGTTAAAGGTATTTATAGGCGGTTATATTCTGTGTTAAGGAGATAATAATAATATTTTAAATTTAATATTTAAATTAAATTTAAAAATATATTGCATATAGTAAACTAAATTTTCGTCTGTAAACAGTATAACATATGTCGTCATATCAAGCATTTTTCAATATATATTAAAAAAAAATAAGAAGTAGTACAATGTTGCACGGTATTTTTTTAAATTGTTTATATATTTCTTATATGAATTGATGCAAGAATTATCAAAATCGAGTCGCAAACAAAGAAGATATTGACAAAAACTACTTTTGAAGCATATTCACAAATGCATTGAAGTCTTTTGCAGGCATTTGTTAGCTGTTATATTCTTTGTTAGGGGATACTGTGAATATTTAAATAATTATAAATTTTACAAACTGGTACAATATATATTGAAAAATGTTTGATATGGTGGTATATGTTATGCTGTTTACAAACGAATATATAGTCGTTTATACACATTATATTTTTCATAATTTTAGAAAATCTGTTTACTCATTTGTAATGATTTATATGCCAAAATATTCTAAAATATGTGTACTTTTCAAAAAAATACCGTGCAACTTTGTACCCTTTCGTAAAATTTATAATTAATTAAATATCATTATTATCCCCATAACACAGAATATAACCTTTAACAGAGTTCTGTATTAAACCTTACAGTGATGGTGAGTTTTTAGCATTGTACAGCTTTTCACCTTAATGTGTTATTAGAATGGTGTTAGTTAACATATATTTTTTTCGTAAAAAAATCACTTTTTTTTTAATATATATAATTAAAAAATTTTCTACTCGATTTTTGTGAAATTAGTTTCGTTTGAAAGAGTGATCAATCTAGTTTTAGGAACTTTAAGAGTGCTGGCTGTACCTCCTTCGAAATTTAAATAAAATGCACTAATATCGGAACATGTGCAAAATGTATACTTATTTTAATAATATATATATATTTCAGTTAAGATATTGAAATGATTCTTATTTACTCGGTTTCGTGAGCATTTTTTTTATACTTTTGCGTGTTACATTTTTTAAAAAGCTTGAAATTTGACGAGTTTAGAAATTTAGTTTTGACATCAAATTTCTCTAAATTGGTCTACTCTGATTAATTCTCGTTAGATGTATTTGCGTGCAATATTGTACCTTTCCTAGATTTTTCTAAACATAAATTTTTTCAAAAAAAGTCGATTTTGGTCAGTTTTTATTTTCGCTATAATTTGAAAAATACGCATCGTATTTCAAATTTGTAAATGCCAATCGAAAGATCTTTCAAAACTCTATAAGAATAATGCATTTTGTTTCAGTTTAATTCCTTATATTAACAAAAATATCACTGTATAAACATTTTTTTGAAAATACAGCTCTGTATTTTCTAGTAACGTTGCTAACTTGGCGCTGGTCACATACATGTCTCAGACCGAAATTTGGTATGCAAACTTAAATATACACGGTGCGATTTGGTAGCACGTATACCTTGTCTGCAAACATGTGGCATCGTCTATATTCTGCTTTAGTTTCATTTGTTTAAAAAGTTTAAAGTCTCTAAAAGGAATCGTAAAACGATTGCGGGTAATAAGTATTGTTTATTCCATTGCAAGAATCCAAAAGAAATTTTTTCGATTTAAAAATATTTAAATTTCCAAATTATAATTCGACTATTTTTAAAAAGTGGGCAGACAAATTAAGTGAAGAATTTATTGAAAACAACACCTGATTGTATTTATGTAGTAATCATTTTTCTGCCGAATTTATTGGAAAAAAATATCTTAAGAGAGGAGCTGTTCCTTCGTTGTGCCTATAGAATTATGATACAACTGATGATGAACGGAAACCTGAAGGTGATATTGACATATCAATTCCCAATTCGAAAACGGATGCGATCAGCATCACCTCCCTGTTTCAGTGGCAGTTGTTTTCAAAATATTAAGAACGTTAAATTTTATCAAACCAAGAAACTTTTATTGCGAAAAAAATTAATATGAAAATCTGAATTAAATCGTTGTTTAAAAGGAGGAAATAAGGCTTTCAAGAAATTAGTAATTAAGTTTTAAAGGCAATTAAAATCAAATTTGTTAGTAAATGAATTGATTGATAAAATGGATATTAGTGATAATGAAAAGTTCTCTCTAAAATGCTCATTATACGTTGTTTATGTTTGCATTTAATTAATATTATTTTATATATTTGTTTTTTTTTGTTATGATATTTGGTTACATGTGTTTACATATTATTTGGGCCAACACTGCGACCAGTCATTGACCAACGAAAAGTGCAATTTTGCATTATCAGCTTTTCTTGTTGGTCAATGCACTGAAGAAAGTGTGTAATATGTTGGCCTATAATTATGTCAGCACAGCGTAAGCAAATTTATTTATTTGTGAATTATGCATTAATATTTATTGTCAATTAATGCATAATTTAATAGCTTGTTAATTAAATAATTTTGTATAAATATAAGAAATAATTTTAATAAAGTTCAGAAGGAAAAGAAAAATCAATTATAACTTTCTTACTTTCTCGCATCGATTAGTTTGGGTTTCAAGTGCTCAAACTAATCAACATAGAAAATACAAGTAGTTTGGGTTAAAAGTGCTCAAACTACTTTACACATAAAAATTGGCTACCAAGCTAACACAGATTAAGGATCTGGGTTAGCACCAAGTAGCGTACATTTTTTGGTGACCCCGACGTGATTGTTGATGAAATATCAGCTTTCATTTTGTCGAAATACATATCGAAGGAGTCAATTACCTACAAAAGGACACACCAAAAGGTCTACTCAGTAATCAGCTGAAGTATTTATTCATTAGAATTTTCGGACCGAAAATTCAAACATCGCAATGGATGCGTTATTAAAGAAGCAGTCAGAGCTCGGTACAGAAATTGAGCGACTGATAACCAATTTCAAAAAGGATTCTAGTACCCGCAAGCAGGATACCACATATTATGAAGATCGGCTAAATAAACTAAACACGTTGTGGAATAATTTCGAATCTAATGATGCTGAAATCAAACTACTGCCACAATAGATGAAATATATGAAGAAATGACCATAAAACATCATCCTAGTTATTATGATCTGAAATATTCTCTAATAGAAAAATATCAGAAGGATCTGAGGGATAACAATGATGAAATATGGTCATCAGCCGACGCAGAAGACATCGTCGGATATACTTGGGATCAATACTATTCAACGGATAAAGATGCCCAAAACGCGTTGATATATTTAAAACAACACAGTCAACCAACTGAAGGATTGACGTCAGAGGGCCCTGCAGCAACTCAACAAATCAGACTTCCAAAAATAGTTTTGCCAACATTTGATGGAGACTATTTGAAATGGATTGAGTTTAGAGATTTGTTTCAACAATTGATCCATGAAATTACAATATAGCTTGGGATATTCTGTCAAATCGGTATGACAACAAACGACTCTTGGTGACAGCATTACTAAATAAATTGTTATCACAACCAAATATAACAATTGAATCAACAAGCAGTCTTAAGGGCATACATGGTGTTACAAAAGAATGTTATTATGGATTAGCAGCTCAAGGTATTGATGTTAAATCTTGGGACGCCATAATGGTTCACGTAATTATTAGAAAGCTAGACAAAGCTTCACATACAGCATTCGAGCAATCGTTAGAAGACAGTCGAAGAATAATTTCATTAAAAGAATTATTGCGGTTCCTAGAAGGAAGATTTCAGGCATTCGAATCGATGACGAATGGAAACCACAAACAAAGTCACAAACCACGACATCCAGCAGTTGCACTTGCAGCTACAGACTCAGGATCAAAATGTATTACTTGCAATAGTAGTCATCAATTATTTTCATGCGAAACTTTCAAACGTAAATCCATACAACAGAAGTACGATTTACTAAAACGTCATAAATTGTGCACAAACTGCATGAAACCTGGTCATATGGCATTACAATGCTCCAGCAGGGGTTGTACTATATGCCAAAGAAGACATAATACACTGTTGCATCAAAATAGACACCCAGTTCAACTATCAAATCATACGTCAGTTGAAAACACTTCAAGGCCACTTGCACAAACAACTCTAATGTCGTCCATCAATCATGGTCAGACCAGTTGCGTTCTTTTGGGAACAGCAAAACTTTTAGCCTCCAACTCTAATGGAAGAACAGTCGAGTGCAGAGCAGTATTGGATTCAAGTTCACAAATAAATATTGTGACTGAACGATTGGCATCCAGATTAGGGCTGCAAGTAAGCTCCAGTTCGATTTGCATCGAAGGCATAGGGATAGGTAAATTGAGTTCTAAAAGTCGTACAACACTTTCTGTGCAATCAAAAGTGACCGATTACAAAACAATACTTGAAGCAATTGTGTTGCCAAAAATTGTGTCCAATCAACCATCGCAACACTTACAAATTTCAAATTGGAATCTGCCCAATAACATCCAATTAGAAGATCCCACATTCCATAAGTCTGACAAAATTGATATGTTGCTTGGAGCAGAATTTTATCATCAACTCCTAAGTCCTGGTCAAATACAACTTTCAAGGGAACTACCAATTCTACAGAACACTGTGCTCGGATGGATCGTATCTGGAAAAATCCAAAATGCTAACACAATGATTGCAACATGTGGAATAGCATCAGAAGATAGTTTAGAAAATGCAATAGAACAATTCTGGAAGGTTGAAGAAGTTGATACTCACTCAAAGGTCTTGTCAATAGCAGAGCAACAATGTGAAGCTCAATTCACTCAAACTACATATCAGAATGTTACGGGACGATTCATCGTACGTCTTCCTTTTATAAATGACAGATTCGCTTTGGAAGATTCGAAAGACATTGCTACAAATAGATTTCTAGCACTAGAGCATAGACTTTCAAAGGATAGTCACCTCAAACGACAATACGTAGAGTTTTTAGATGAATATGAAAAATTGGGACATATGACCGAAATAGATATTGAAAGGATTATGTCACCACATTACTTTATACCACATCATTGTGTGCTTAAACCCGACAGTACCACCACTAAGTTACGTGTGGTATTTAATGCATCATCCAAAACAACATCAGGGCAATCTCTCAATGATTTACTACACATCGGACCAACTGTTCAAAGTGAATTACTGTCTATTTTATTACGATTCCGTCTTCCTCGTTATGTGTTTCCAACAGACATTGAAAAGATGTACCGACAAATACTTGTACATCCAGAAGACAGACAATGTCAGCTTATCGTTTGGAGAAATGAACCAAGTCAACCTATAAAGTACTTTGAACTCAACACAGTAACATATGGTACTAGATCAGCACCGTATCTAGCAACCAAATGTTTGCAAGTTTTAGCTGATGACAATATGCAAAATTATCCATTAGGTGCATCTGCTCTCAAACAAAACCTCTATGTAGATGACTGTTTACAAGGGGCAGATAGTCTGAGAACATTGTTGGAAACTCAGAGTGAATTAAACAAAATACTGACAGCAAGCGGTTTTAAATTGCGAAAATGGTGCGCAAATCATCCAAGTCTACTACAAGGAATTCCACACGATGACTTAGAAGTCAATTTAGATTTAGAAAATAATAACGATACAACAAAAACTCTTGGGTTATCCTGGTGTCCAAAATCTGATAGTTTATGCGTCAAGGTTAAATTGGAACCTGTTTGCAGCACGACGAAGCGCAGTGCAACTTCAGATTTAGCAAGGCTATTTGATCCACTAGGACTTTTGTCACCAGTTGTGGTGATGGCAAAGATCTTTATTCAAGAATTATGGAATTTAAAGATGGATTGGGATGAAAAACTGACGACTGAATTACATAAACAGTGGTTACAGTTCCGGAACAATTTGACAAAAGTAAATTGTCTGCAGATATCTCGTCATATTTTCAAAGGCGAAGTTCCTGCCAACATTCAATTACACATCTTTACAGATGCATCAGAAAAGGCATATGGTGCCGCAGCGTATTTGCGATCAACACTTCAGAATGGTCAAATTATTGTACGACTTTTGTGCGCCAAATCTCGGGTTGCACCTTTGAAAAGGTTGACATTACCTCGTCTCGAACCTCGTCAGTTGCGCCACGTCAGTTCGGAACACAATCCAGCTGACATTTTATCAAGAGGCCTTGCACCCCATAAACTACAGTCATCAAGTATGTGGTTTTATGGACCTATGTTCCTGCATGGTCGGGAAGAACTATGGCCTTCAAAACCATCATCAGCGTTAAAATCCGAAACCCTCATTGATCCTGAACGGAAGAAGGAAACTCAAGTATCTACATTGTCTGCTGTTGAAGGCACAGCCAATCCTGGAGAGTTCATATACTCAATACGACACAACAACTCATTTGGAAGACTTCAACGGATATTATCGTATATATTAAGATTCGTAAAAAGAACCAGAAGAAAACAAAATGATCATTCAAGCAATTTTTTGACTCCAGATGATCTAGATGCAGCACATCAGGTCATCATCATAAGTATTCAATATGCAGAATTTAAAATTGAAATCAAAATTATGAAATCTGATGGAAGAATAAATAAGTCCAGTGCATTGGCATCACTGGCACCTTTTATTGATAATACGGGCATCATAAGAGTTGGTGGACGTTTGGATGCAGCCTCATTATCGTATGACACAAAACATCCTATGTTGTTGCCTTATAACGACCCCATTGTCAAATTAATAATGGAACAAGTCCATAAGAAATACATACACTGTGGTCCGCAGTCTCTCCTAGCTAACATGCGTCAACGATACTGGCCAATTAAAGGCAAATTGATGGCAAGGTCAGTAGTACAACATTGTGTACGTTGTACTAAAGTAAGACCACGATTTTATAAACAACTGATGGGTAATTTGCCAGTGACAAGAGTACAACCTGGGCGACCATTCCTCACCACTGGAGTGGACTTTTGCGGACCTTGGATACATTACAGAATCCGAGGCAAGAAACCACACAAGGCATACATTGCTGTGTACTGTTGTTTTACAACTAAGACAGTTCATCTCGAAGTAGTCAGCGATTTAACCACAGATGCTTTCATCGGATCACTGAAACGTTTTATTGCTCGAAGAGGACATAGCAAGAATTTGTTTTGTGACAATGCCACAAATTTCGTGGGAGCAAGGAATCAATTACTTGAACATGCAGACTCAATTCAAGCAAACAAGGCACAAGAGAAGATAATTAACGAATGTAATGAAAGAGGAATAACATTTAAATTTATACCTCCTCGTGCACCACACTTCGGTGGACTGTGGAAAGCACCAGTCAAATCAGCAAAACACTTATTCATACGAAGTACTAAGACGGTTTCACTAACATATGAGGAACTAGAGACTGTGGTATTAGAAGTTGAAGCAATACTGAACTCTCGACCATTGACACCTATGTCGAGTAATCCGAATGACTTGTCAGCACTAACACCTGGTCATTTTTTAATCGGAGAACCACTCACAGCAATGGCAGATGCAAAGGCCCAATCAGGAAATATAAATCTGGTGACAAGGTGGAAATTAGTTTCTCGTCTCAAATTGGACTTTTGGGAACGTTGGAAAACCGAGTACCTCACTGAACTACAATGTCGACACAAATGAAAAGCAGCCAATCCAAATGTAAAAGAAGGCACCCTTGTAATCATCAAGGAAGATAATGTTCCTACATTAAAATGAGCGCTTGGACGTATTTCAAAGGTATATAAGGAAGATGACGGTCTTGTTCGCGTGGTTGATGTTAAAATGGCTTCAGGAACTCTAAGACGTCCTTTGATAAGACTAGCGCCTCTGTTTCCATCCGATGAACAATCTCCTGTTTCTGATGAACAACTTTCAAAAAGTTTTACAAAAGCGAAGTCGAAAACACCACACGAAGGCGCAGATCAAGACGAGCCACCTAAAAAGTATTCACGGCCAATGTCTAATTCATTACTGTGCACAATGTTATTATCTCTATTATTCCTGCCATTCAGGGAATTCAGTGAATGTAACACGTTTCGACAATAATTTAGGAATATACTTTGAATCCATTGGCTTGATGAAAGTAGCAACGGCAGAATGGAAAATGATTGTTTACTATGATCTTCATCCATATTGGACCGAAATGGACTCCTTCAACAACGAGACTAAAACTATCAAACGTTTATGTTCAGAATTGCAAGCACATACAGCATGTACTTCTCTCTATACTCATTTTAAACATGTAAGAGATGAATTGTTGCAAGACCAAACATTGTTATATAAAAGCCGGAACGAGCGAGCTGCAATTAACATAGTAGGAAATATTGCACACACCTTATTCGGAGTGCTTGATTCAGACTACGCTGAGAGCATGTCTGACACAATAAATCAACTTAACAGTAGAGATGATTATGCAATGCAGTTAATTCATAATCAAACATCTATTATAGATTCCACAATAAATATAATCAAACGAGATGAAGTTACCATGCAGTCCCGAATGAATCATTTGCAAAAGCAGGTTGATGAGTTTCTGAATAGAATTGGAACTACAACAGAACATGTCACATGTCACTCAATTACTACTTTCATTATCTGCAGAACTCACATTAATGGTATCCAATCTTCAACACATCCAGTCGGAGATAATTGATGTGCTTACAGATACACATCATGGGAAAATCAGTCCACTGCTATTAACTCCTGATCAATTAACAAAGCAGATTAACAGAATCAAAGGCCACTTACCATCATCGCGTACACTACCCTTCACAGAAGACAATTTGACCGATTTTTACAAGCTAATGAAAGTGAAGTCAACAATTAAAAATCAGCATGTATTATTTTTAATACAACTACCACTGCTAGACAAGCAGCAATTTGAATTGTTCAAGACAACACCGATACCGGTTGTAATAAACAAAACCATGATAATTATCAAAACTGAAGTGGAGTACTTGGCAACCAACACTGTTCGAGATCAGTACATTCCATTTGATGACCATGAGTTACGGGAATGTTTTTTAACCAAGGATAATATATACCTTTGCGCTAATAAACAAACAAGACTAGGTATAGCATCATCGGTACATTCATGTGAAATTAATCTATTTAATGGTAATCAGTCAACAACATGCAATATAATAAAACTTCAAGGAAATATTGCATTGAAACAACTACACAACCCGAACCAGTGGCTATACGCAACAAAACTTGAAACATTGATGTCAGCTAGTTGTGAGACCTACTTGAGTCATTTCTCACTGATAGGATCCGGAGTGCTAATATTTGAACCTACGTGCATCATTAAAAACGCAGAAATAACCATACATGGCCACTATCTCCAGCACTGTATCCACGTCATTTCCACGATTTGGAAATTTATCAACAGTTGTACACATTAATGAGATGCAGAAAATCTTCAATACAACACCAAATGATGTAAAAACACAACTCAAAGAACTCACAGAATTGCAAAACCGGCTAACTAAGGAAAACTTGACATATCTTCCCTCTAGAGTGCGATTAAACAGTATTCATCATCATACGATAAGTTATTTGGCGTTGTTAATTTCTATAACAATAATAATAATCATTACTTGGAAAACCAAACATAACATATGTCAGAAACACACAATAAGCGAAATTTCAACACGAGGAAATGATATGCAGAATGCAGAATTACGTCAACAAAATTTGGACTTCATTGTGACCACAACCTAGGACAAGTTGAGTTAGCACTCAACGGCGGGGAGAATGTTTATGTTTGCATTTAATTAATATTATTTTATATTTTTGTTTTTTTTTGTTATTTGGTTACATGTGTTTACATATTATTTGGGCCAACACTGCGACCAGTCATTGACCAACGAAAAGTGCAATTTTGCATTATCAGCTTTTCTTGTTGGTCAATGCACTAAAGAAAGTGTGTAATATGTTGGCCTATAATTATGTCAGCACAGCGTAGGCAAATTTATTTATTTGTGAATTATGCATTAATATTTATTGTCAATTAATGCATAATTTAATAGCTTGTTAATTAAATAATTTTGTATAAATATAAGAAATAATTTTAATAAAGTTCAGAAGGAAAAGAAAAATCAATTATAACTTTCTTACTTTCTCGCATCGATTAGTTTGGGTTTCAAGTGCTCAAACTAATCAACATAGAAAATACAAGTAGTTTGGGTTAAAAGTGCTCAAACTACTTTACACATAAAAATTGGCTACCAAGCTAACACAGATTAAGGATCTGGGTTAGCACCAAGTAGCGTACATACGTAATCGAAGAATTGTAGCTATCTGGAATTTGAATGAATGACATATTACACAAATTATGTATTATAAGTTATTATAAGTAACACGTTAAATTTGAATTTTCCCAGTCCTTCATCCCTGCGGAGATGGAATGATATAAACAGTTTACAGCCTGGACATAATATTTGTATTTATACAGTGCTTAAAATTTTAATATTTTAATGATGCATTTTAATATTTGATGAAATTGTTATAAAAAAAATTTAACTTACAATGCCTCTGCAGATGTGATTTGTGGGCTGATTGATTTAGGAAATAAACGAACAGATGAGATAGGTACGCTTATTTGCGTTTTTATGTTGAGGGAGCTTATAAAAAATTGGAAATCCCTTCTGAATTATGTTGTAATGAATAACTCAATCAATGGGCCATCACTATGACAGTTATTAAAGAATAATTATAAAAAATTGGAAATCCCTTCTGAATTATGTTGTAATGAATAACTCAATCAATGGGCCATCACTATGACAGTTATTAAAGAATAATTTAGACTGTGCAGAGAAATTGGGATTGAAAGTGCGTGCAATAACATGTGATCAAGGTCCTAAAAATCGGAATTGCTATAAGTTATTGAATATTTCAGTGGAAAGACCGTACTTTATTCATAACAATGTAAAAATCTATCTTTTATATAATTTACCGCATTTAATAAAATCCATAAGAAATGCAATTATAAAGGTAGATGTTAAAACAGCTGACGTCAAAATTAAATTTGATGTGATAAGAGAATTGTTTAATTTAAAACAGCAAAACATGACGAAAATGTCGAAATTGACAATAGTTTATATTTCACCTACTTGTTTTGAAAAAATGCGAGTGAGGCTTGCTGCTCAAAGTCTGAGTTGTATTGTTGCAGCAGCAATTAAATCTGCAACTATAAATAAAGAGTTTCATAGGAATAGTTCCTTAGTCACAGCAAATGCATCCGCATTTATTGACATCGCATATTAGCTTTCTAGTTAAAGTGTTATGACGCGTTTTGGTTTGCTTTGCTTTCAAATAGTTTAAATAGAGAAAATGCGGGTCTTTAAATCTAAAATTTGCAAAATAGCAACCTCATACATAGGCACTTAAAATTCCATTGCTTGTGTTTAGGCTTGAAAGTGAATTTTGAATTATTTCTGTCTTTAATATGGATAAAAAATTAAAACAACAAACAGATTGCCCCAAACAAAAAAAAGCCTGAAATGAGTGCTCAGCGTTCTGAGCGCGAAAATAAACAAGTTATTGAGGGAGTAAGTACGCAAACAAATAAATTTGCAAATCCAGTGAAATTTTGTCTTATCTATCAAAGATGTTCATACACACTAAAAATTACAAGCTTAACAGTAATTTTAGAAGTTTGTGTCCACCAACAAATTCATTTTTCAATATTTGCAAGATTCATATAAAAGTGTTTGAAAAGATTTTTAAAGAAAATAAAAATATTAGCAGTATAGGAAAAAAAATATTGGTAGAAAAGTGTATAGAAGTCACTAAAACCACTAATAATGCTTCCTGGTTTGACGAAACGCATGAATGCTATTTACACCGGATTGAAATGTTAAAATTGGTAATAATAATATTACTTCGGAAACATTGTGCATGGACAACATTTGAAACCAAAGCATCATAGAATAGATTTGAGATATAAATAAATTCGTGTTGTGTTTTTAAACCACAATTCAGAACAATATCAAACAGATAATCTTGCTTTATATTCTTTCAAATTCAAAAATTTATCAAATGTACATAATTTTAAATTTGTCGCTGAAATGCTGTTTATTCAGTTGAATATTTTACAGCGAACAAACATACAAACATGCGTATATTATAATACAGAGGGTTGCATGTGTGATTGAATACGTATGCAGTTGGCCTTTTGTCAGTGTAACTTTTTTTACGTATAGAATTGAACTGAATATTCCCAGCGACACCATTATGCCAGCGCTGAAAAAGTAAGCGAGGAGGTAATAGCTCTTCGTTTTTATTTTTCTTTGTTTTCGACATTTGTGTTCGACATAGGCAATTTCGGGGTTGAAATTATAAAAGAATGAAGAAGAAAAGCATATGAGAATTAAGAATTTCTTGTTTTGCCTACATTGTATACATTTAGTCTGCTTTTGATTTTAGTGAAGTGCGTGCAGTGAACAATTTTTAATTTTTAAAATCAAAATAAAATCGAAAATATAAATAAAATATAATTTGTAATTTAACATAAACTCACTGTAAGTATATGCAAAATTAAGTAAATATATTTAAAATGATAATTGTAATTTTTGTTTTGTATTATGTAGATTCTACTGCGTCAAGAACGATTAATTGACCAATGTGCTGCGAATGCA